ACTGGTTTTATAAGATAAGATTTAACGATGATGGTCTTTACATATTAATACAATTTGAATAAATAAGAGTTATGGTTCTAATTACAGACTATTGATGAAAAAAAATTGTATGACAATTTAAAATCCAATATATTTAAAATCCAACATATTTAAACGACTCCACAAATGTGTTCGATTTACACCAAAAGCAAAGAATCAAGAAACTTGAGTTTTAAGATAAGCACTCAAAACCAATAAAGAAAACTACAAATTTGACAGATCATAAGCTATGAAAAAATGAAAAAAGATGAGTTTTAGAATGAAATTTCAATTGCTTACCATCTTTCTTGTCTAGAAACTCAGATTAAGGTTCAATTAATACATGTATATATATATATTTCAAAAAAACTCAAGAATATATTAATTCAGAATATATTATATAGTGCAATTTGGACAGCCTTACCCCAAAATATATAATATATATATATATATATGTATATATATATAAATAAATAACTATAAAAGTATAAATCGTAAATATTAAAAATATCTTTTTCACATTATATATAATATATAATAATATAATTAAGTAAAAAACTATTCAATATTGGACTCATTTCGAAGGTATTAACGAGACGATTATACTGGTGTAACTTGTTAAAATAAAAATGTATTTTTTAAACATGTTTTAATTGATATACGATTATGTATGTTAATTTGATAAAGGTTTAAAATGAAACATTTAAAAGTAAATGACATAAGTAAATTAATTAACTAATTATAGAGGTATAAATTATAAATTTAAAATTATAATTTTAAAAAAATCGGTTGTGAGAGGGTGAGTGTATGTGAGGAGAGGAGGGGATGAAAAAGTGAAAGTATAGTATAAAGAGTATTTTGGTCATTTAATATTTTAAGACTTTAAGACTTTTGTTAAATTTGCTTAATAAGATAGTATATATATATATATATATATATAGAGAGAGAGAGAGAGAGAGAGAGAGAGAGTTTGTTTCAAATACAACTCGTCGCATTTGTACAACCAATGCAACCTAATAAATTGAAATATTTATGGAAATGATGAGAGTTCATTTATTATGATTTAAATATTTATGAAATATGAATAAAGTTCATTAATTATAATTAATACTTTATATTATGACATAATCAAAACTTCTATGAAATTACATATTCATCAAATTAAATGAACGGTTGAGATTGAGTTGTATTGGTTGTACAAATGTAAAGATTTGTATAATAATCCATATATATATATATATATATATATATGTGGGAGCGGTCAAATGAAAACCACTCAATTTGTAAAACCGTAAAAACTTCATTCCACCAATCACAATTTTTCATTTTGTTCATTTTTTTGTAATTATGAGAGGCTGATTAATCATTTTTATTGTGGATGATGTTAATCATGGATATTATCATTTTCATTATTTTAATTTTAGAGAAATACATGAAACAATTTCATTAAAATTTCATTAAGTAGTATATGAAACAATTTCATAACCATATATGAAACAACTTTATCAAAAAAAGTATTATATGAAACAATTTCACAAAATTAAACAATTTTATGAAAAAATTTCATAAGATTAAACAATGAAATCAACAGATGAAAGTAGTTTTTACGGTTTTACAAATTGGAGTGGTTTTCATTTGATCGCTTCTCTCTCTCTTTATATATATATACACCCTCATTTGTACAAACCGTACAAACCACCCTCATACGTCAATTTCATTATTTAATCTTATGAATATTTTTCATGAAATTGTTTAATCTTGTGAAATTGTTTCATATAATACCTTTTTTGATGAATTTGTTTCATATATGGTTATGAAATTATTTCATATAATATTTAATAAAATTTTAATGAAACCGTTTCATGTATTTCTCTAAAATTAAAATAATGAAGATGATAATATCCATGATTAACACCCTCCACAATAAAAATGGTTAATCAACMTCTCATAATTACAAAAAAATGAACAAAATGAAAAATTATGATTGGTTGAATGAAGTTTTCACGATTTATACAAATTAAGTGGTTTTTATTTGAACGCTCATATATATATATATATATATATATATAGGGGCTGGTTCAAATACTAACCCAATATTTTGTGCAAACTATGTTAACCCATCTTAATCGTTCATTTTCTCATCTAACGGTTATTATTAAATGAG